CGATCTGGGGGGGCTGGGGGGACACTGGACCCAGTTTGGGGGGACCCCTGACCCAGTCTGGGGGGGCTGTGGTGGCACCGACCCCTCCTGGGGGGGAATTGTCCCAGTTTGGGGGGGCTGGGGACACTGGTCTGGGGGGCACTGGCCCAGTTTGGGGTCACTGGTTTGGGGGGCACTGGTTGGGGCTGTTGGGTTTGGGGTCCTGGGGGGCTCCGGGCTGGACACGGCCCCGGTTTGGCTGGTGGGGGCCGGCACCCCCCGGATTTGGGATTTGGGATCAGGCACTGGTTGGGGCTGTTGGGTTTGGGGTCCTGGGGGGCTCCGGGCTGGACACGGCCCCGGTTTGGCTGGTGGGGGCCAGCACCCCCTGGATTTGGGATCGTTTGGGGTGTGGGATTTGGGAGCCCCGTGTCCGTGTCCCTGTCCCCGCTCCGGCTGCTCCCGGTGTCCCCCAGTGTCCCCTGCATTTGGCTGGTTTGGAGTTGCCAGGAATTCCCGTGATCCATCCGGCTCCTGGTGGGGACATCCCAAAAGATGGGGACGTGTTGGAGTGGGGACATCCAGAGGAGCGGGAACATCCCAGAGGAGTGGGGACATCCTGGGTCAGGGCATTCCGGTGCTGGAGCATCTGATGGAACGTTCTGGTGTGGGAACATTCCGGGCCTGGATCCTTCCGACCTTGGAGCATCCCGGGGTGGGACCATCCCAGGGCTGGAGCATCCCGGGGTGGGATCCTCTGCTGTGGGATCTCCCGCTGTGGGATCTGCTCTGGGATCTTCTGCTGTGGGATCGGCTGTGGGATCTCCCGCTGTGGGATCTGCTCTGGGATCTTCTGCTGTGGGATCTCCTGCTGTGGGATCGTCCCAGTATCAGAGCATCCCCGTGGTGGAACATTCCAGTATTGGAGCATCCTGGTCCCAGAGCGTCCCAGTGTCAGAGCATCCCAGTATGGAGCATCCCAGTATGGAACATCCCAGTATGGAACATCCCAGTGTGGAGCATCCCAGTGCTGGACCAGAGCGGGGCTGGAGCATCCCGGTGTGGGACCATCCCAGTGTGGGATCACCCTGGTGTGGGATCACCCTGGTGTGGGATCATCCCAGTGCCAGAGCATCCGGGTGATGGAACAGCCCAGTGCTCATCCATCCCAGTCCCAGTCCATCCCAGTCCCAGTCCATCCCAGTCCCAGTCCATCCCAGTACCAGTCCATCCCAGTGCTCATCTATCCCAGTGCTCATCCATCCCAATCCCAGTCCATCCCAGTACCAGTCCATCCCAGTGCTCATCTATCCCAGTGCTCATCCATCCCAATCCCAGTCCATCCCAATCCCCATTTATCCCAGTGCCAATCCATCCCAATACCAGTTTATCCCAGTCCCAGTCCATCCCAGTCCCAGTCTATCCCAATCCCAGTCCATCCCAGTCCCAGTCCATCCCAGTCCCAGTCCATCCCAGTCCCAGTCCCGGCCCATCCCAGTGCTGGCCCATCCCGAGGGGAAACTGAGGCAGGTTGTGGGCGGAGCGGGTGGCAGTGGCAGTGTTGGGGTCCCGCTGCGCCCCCAGGAGGATACTGGGGGGGCCGTGTCCCCCCCTTTGGGACCCCCAAAGGCCCCCGGGACCCTCCATGACCCCCCATGGACCCCCTCCCCCCAGTTTGGAGCTGCTTTTGGTCCTGTTTGGTGAGAAAAGCCCCAAGAAGGGTCCCTGGGGGGGAGGGTGGGGGGGGTCCTTTTGGGGGCCCCCAGGGGGGAGGGGTGGGAGGGGGCCTGGAGGGGGGGTCCATCCTTCCTGAGCGTGGGGGGGTCTGGGGCCCCCCCCAGCAGGACCGATCCCCCCCCCGGGCACCGCTGGGTTTGGGGGGGCTGCTCTGCAAGGGGGGGCACCCAAAGGTGCTGCTCCGGAGCCTCCGGACCTGGGGAGGGAAAATTTGGGGATGGGGGGGGTTAAACAGAGTAGTATGGAACATCCCAGTATGGAACATCCCAGTGTGGAGCATCCCAGTGCTGGACCAGAGCGGGGCTGGAGCATCCCGGTGTGGGACCATCCCAGTGTGGGATCACCCTGGTGTGGGATCATCCCAGTGCCAGAGCATCCGGGTGATGGAACAGCCCAGTGCTCATCCATCCCAGTCCCAGTCCATCCCAGTCCCAGTCCATCCCAGTCCCAGTCCATCCCAGTCCCAGTCCATCCCAGTCCCAGTCCATCCCAGTCCCAGTCCATCCCAGTCCCAGTCCATCCCAGTCCCAGTCCATCCCAGTCCCAGTCCATCCCAGTCCCAGTCCATCCCAGTCCCAGTCCATCCCAGTACCAGTCCATCCCAGTGCTCATCTATCCCAGTGCTCATCCAGCCCAATCCCAGTCCATCCCAATCCCCATTTATCCCAGTGCCAATCCATCCCAATACCAGTTTATCCCAGTCCCAGTCCATCCCAGTCCCAGTCTATCCCAATCCCAGTCCATCCCAGTCCCAGTCCATCCCAGTCCCAGTCCCGGCCCATCCCAGTGCTGGCCCATCCCGAGGGGAAACTGAGGCAGGTTGTGGGCGGAGCGGGTGGCAGTGGCAGTGTTGGGGTCCCGCTGCGCCCCCAGGAGGATACTGGGGGGGCCGTGTCCCCCCCTTTGGGACCCCCAAAGGCCCCCGGGACCCTCCGTGACCCCCCATGGACCCCCTCCCCCCAGTTTGGAGCTGCTTTTGGTCCTGTTTGGTGAGAAAAGCCCCAAGAAGGGTCCCTGGGGGGGAGGGTGGGGGGGGTCCTTTTGGGGGCCCCCAGGGTGGGCACGACCCCCCCAAAACCAGTGGCTGCTGTGGGGGGGCACTGGCACCCTGCACTGGGCTGGACTGGGACGGACTGGGATGGACTGGGGGGGTGGGAGGCCAAAGGTGCTGCTCCGGAGCCTCCGGACCTGGGGAGGGAAAATTTGGGGATGGGGGGGTTAAACAGAGTTTGGGGGGCACTTCCTGCCCCCCCAAACCCTGGGACACCCCCAACACCAATGGGGGACACCCCAAATACCCCCTGGGGCATTTCCAGCCCCCCAAAATCCCAGGAACCCCCCAAATCCCAGTGGGGGCACATCCCAACCCGGGGGCTGGGGGGTCCTGGGGGGCTCAGGGGGTTCCCAGCCTGGGGGGGTCATGGGGGGTCCAGGGAAGTTCTGGGGGGGGTCCCAGGGGGGTCTCGAGGGGATCCCTGGGGGTTTTCCAGCCCTGGAGAGGTTCCAGAGGGGTCCCAGAGTGTCCTGGGGGTGCCAGGGGGTGTCCCAGGGGTGTCCCAGGGGTCTCGGGGGTGTCTTGGGGGTCCCAAGGCTGTCCCAAGGTGTCCCTGGGGGTGTCCCAGGGGGTCCTGGGGGTGTCATGGGGGTGTCTCAGGCTGTCCCTGGGGGTGTTCCCAAAATCCCAAGGCTGTCCCAGGGATGTCCCAGGAGGTCCTGGGGGTCCCGGGGGTGTCCCGGGGATGTCCCAGGGTGTCCTGGGGGTGTCCCTGGGGGTGTCCCGGGGGTCCTGGGGGTCTCACCGGGCTCAGTAGGGCCGGTTGGCGTCTTTGGGCCTCTTGAGCTGCACCTTGAGCCGCTTCATCCCGATCTGGAAGCCGTTCATGGCCTGGATGGCGGCCTGGGCGCTCGCGGGGTTGTCAAAGCTCACGAAGCCTGCGGGGACATCGGGGACGTCGGGGACATTGGGGACACCAGAGACATTGGGGACAGTGGGGACATTGGGAAGGTGTGGGGATATCATGGGGACAGCGGCATATGGGGGCACGGGGACAGAGGGGACGTGGGGAACGTGGGGGATGTGGGGACATCGTGGGGACATGGGGGACATCATGGGGACATGGAGGACATGGAGGATGTGGGGACATGGGGGACATCGTGGGGACATGGAGGACATGGAGGATGTGGGGACATCGTGGGGACATGGGGATAAAGGAGACATTGGGAGACAATGGAGCCATTTGGGGCAGAGGGGACATTGGGGACATTAGGGATGGGGGGACATTGGGGAGATCAGGGACATCAGGTAATGGTGTCCCTGGCCATGATGTCCCCAAGTGCTGACCATGGCGCTGCCACCCCTGTCCTTGCTGTCCCTCCTTGTCCCCCCATATCCCCATTTCCCATGACCCACATCCCCTATCCCATATCCCCATGTCCCCAATGTCCCAAATGTCCCCAAGTCCCCAGTGTCCTTAATGTCCCTGATGTCCCCAATGTCCCCAGTGCCCCTATATCCCACATTGCCTGTCCCATATCTCCATGTCCCCAATGTCTCCATGTCTGCAACGCCCCATTGTCCCAAATATCCCTGATGTCCCCAATGTCCCCATATCCCATTATCCCCAATGTCTCCATTGTCCCCATTGTCCCCAGTGTCCCCAATGTCCCCATTATCACCATTATCCCATTATCCCCAATGTCCCCAATATCCCCATTGTCCCCAATATCCCCAATGTCCCTGTTGTCCCCATTGTCCCCGTTGTCCCCAATATCCCCAATGTCCCCATTGTCCCCGTTGTCCCCAATGTCCCCAATGTCCCCGTTGTCCCCAATATCCCCAATGTCCCCAATGTCCCCAATATCCCCAATGTCCCCGTTGTCCCCGTTGTCCCCAATGTCCCCGTTGTCCCCATTGTCCCCGTTGTCCCCAGTGTCCCGTGTCCCTACCGAAGCACTTGCTCTGGTTGGTGGCCCTGTCCACGAAGACCTTGGCGGAGATGACGTTGCCGAAGGGGAGGAACATCTGCAGGATCTCGGTGTCGGCGAACTCCTGGGGCAGGTGGTAGATGAAGATGTTACAGCCCTCGGGGCCTGCGGAGGGAGCGGGGTCACACCTGGGACTGCGTCCCCAAAACCGACCGCGCCCCAAAGCGGGGCTGCCAACCCAAACCGGGCACGGGATCCCAAAACTGGGGCTGCCAAACCAAAATTGACATGGACCCCAAAGCGGGGCTGCCAACCCAAAATTGACATGGACCCCAAAACCGGGGCTCTCAATACAAACCCAACATGGACCCCAAAACTGGGGCTGCCAACCCAAAACTGGGCATGGGACCCCAAAAGTGGGGCTGCCAACCCAAACCAGGCACGGGATCCCAAAACCAGGGCTGCCAACCCAAAACTGGCACAGGATCCCAAAGCCGAGGCTGCCAACCCAAAATTGACATGGACCCCAAAACCAGGGCTCTCAATACAAACCTAAAATGGACCCCAAAACCGGGGCTCTCAATACAAACCCAACATGGACCCCAAAACTGGGGCTGCCAACCCAAAACTGGGCATGGGATCCCAAAGCCGGGGCTGCCAACCCAAAATTGACATGGACCCCAAAACCTGGGCTGCCAACACAAACCCAACATGGACCCCAAAACTGGGGCTGCCAACCCAAAACTGGCACAGGATCCCAAAACTGGGACACTCAATCTAAAACTGACACAGACCCCAAAATCAGGGTACTCAACTGAAACCAGACACGGACCCCAAAACAGCAGCTCTCAACACAAAATGGACACAGCACCCCAAAACCAGGGCTCTCAACCCAAAACCAACCAGACCCCAAAACCAGGGCTGCCAACCCACAATGGACACAGCACCCCAAAATCGGGGCTGCCAACCCAAACTGGATATGGGCCCCAAAACTGGGGCTCTCAACCCAAACCTGGCTCCTGCTTTGGGTTCACAGCTCCCATTTTGGGGTCCTGGGTCCCATTTTGGATTCACAGCTCTGATTTTGGGGTCCCAAGTCTCGGTTTTGGGGTCCTGGGGCAGGTTTGAGGGTCCTGGGATATTTAGAGGCTTTTGGCGGGGTCCCGGGGGAGTTTTGGGGGGCTGGGGAATTTGGGAGAGGTCCTGGAGGGGGCGGCCGGGTACGCGGCTGGGGGCACGGGGGGCACGGGGGGCACGGGGTCACCGGGGGCATCGGTGCCACCAGGGCCACCCCAGTGCCCCCCCCAGGGCTGTACAACACCCTCCCAAAGCCACAGCGACACCGGTGCCACCCCAGTGCCCTCCCAGTACCCGCCCAGTGCCCCCCAGTACCCCACAACACACCCCCAGCTCCTCCCACTGCCTTCCCAGTTCCCCCCAGTCCCTCCCAGTTCCTTCAGTGCGGGGTCGGGGGGCACCTGGGAAGGGGGGGACCCCCCCGGCGTAGACGGCGTCGGGGGCGGGGGGTCCCGCGGGCTGCGCGGGCACGGGGCTGTAGCCGTTGACGCTCAGCGGGGCCGCGATGGCCGGGACGGGGGTGGCCGCCATGGCCGGGGGGGTGCTGGTTCCTGGGGACAGCGCGGCCACCGCCGGGTCAGCACCGGGACAGCACCGGGACAGCACCGGGACAGCCCGGGGACAGCACCGGGACAGAACCGGGACAGCCCGGGACAGCCCGGGGACAGCCCGGGGACAGCCGGGGACACCGGCACTGTGACCCTGGAGGGTGGGGAACCCCCCACGGGTACAGTGGTGTCCCTATCCTATCTGTGGTGTCCCTGTCCCATCCCTGGTGTCCCCATCCCACCCCCAATGTCCCCATCCCATCCCTGGTGTCCCCCCGTATCCCATGTCCTATCCTTGATGTCCCCATCCCTGGTGTCCCTCCCTAGTGTCCCCATCCCCACTATCACCCCTCCCCAATGTCCCCATTCCAGGTGTCCCCTCCCCAGTGTCCCCTCTCCAGTGTCCCCTCCCCCGTGTCCCCCATCCCCTCCCCGTGTCCCCGTGTCCCCGTACCTGAGGAGGGTGGCAGGGGGGTGGCGATGAGCCCGTTGGGGTTGACCGTGCCCATGTGCTGCATCTGCACGGCCATGGTGGCCATGGGGCTGAGGTAGGCCGAGTGCGCGGCCACCAGGGCCGCCTGCTGCTGCATCAGCTGTGGGGACACGCCTGGCACCGCGCGGCCACCGCCGCCACCGCCGCCCCGCCCCAGGGCCACCAACACCCAGGGCCCAGCCCAGTGCCACCCACACCCCAGTGCCACCAACACCCCGGGCCACCAACACCCCAGAGCCCACCCCAGTGCCACCAACACCCCCGTGCCCCCAGTGCCACCAACACCCAGGGCCCAACCCAGTGCCACCAACACCCCAGGGCCCAACCCGGTGCCACCAACACCCAGGGCCCACCCCAGTGCCACCAACACCCCAGTGCCACCAACACCTCAGAGCCCAGCCCAGTGCCACCAACACCCCAGTGCCACCAACACCCCAGTGCCACCAACGCCCCAGTGCCACCAACACCCAGGGCCCAGCCCAGTGCCACCAACACCCCAGTGCCACCAACACCCAGGGCCCAACCCAGTGCCACCAACACCCCAGAGCCACCAACACCCCAGTGCCACCAACACCCCAGGGCCACCAACAACACCCCAGAGTCCAACCCAGTGCCACCAACACCCCGGGATGTGGGACCAGCATGTCCCCATGGATGTCACCCCAGTGTCCTCATCCCTCATCACCCATCACCACAACCACCTCAGGCTGGATTTTGGGGGGTCCCACCCCCTTCCCCTTGATCCCCCTCGTGATCCCAGTCCTTCCCAGCGCCCCCAGTCCCTCCCAGTCCCTCCAGTGCTCCCAGCGCCCCCAGCGCCCCCAGTCCCTCCCAGTGCCCCCAGACCCTCCCAGTGCCCCCAGCGTCTCCAGTGCCCCCAGTGTCTCCAGTCCCTCCCAGTCCTTCCCAGCGCCCCCAGTCCCTCCCAGTCCCTCCCAGTGCTCCCAGTACCCCCAGTGCCCCCAGTCCCCCCAGTGCCCCCGGTTCCCCCGTGCCCCTGGTTCCCCAGTGCCCCCAGTCCCGCAGGGACCACCCCAGTACCACCAACACCCCAGAACCCAACCCAGTGCCACCAACACCCCGGGACGTGGGACCAGCATGTCCCCATGGATGTCACCCCAGTGTCCCATCCAGGACCAGCATGTCCCCATGGATGTCACCCCAGTGTCCTCATCCCTCATCACCCATCACCACAACCACCTCAGGCTGGATTTTGGGGGGTCCCACCCCCTTCCCCTTGATCCCCCTCGTGATCCCAGTCCTTCCCAGCGCCCCCAGTCCCTCCCAGTCCCTCCAGTGCTCCCAGCGCCCCCAGCGCCCCCAGTCCCTCCCAGTGCCCCCAGTGCCCCTAGTCCTTCCCAGTGTCCCCCAGTGCCCTCCCAGTGCCCCCAGTCCCCCCCCAGCGCCCCCAGTCCCTCCCAGTCCCTCCAGTGCTCCCAGCGCCCCCAGCGCCCCCAGTCCCTCCCAGTGCCCCCAGACCCTCCCAGTGCCCCCAGCGTCTCCAGTGCCCCCAGTGTCTCCAGTCCCTCCCAGTCCTTCCCAGCGCCCCCAGTCCCTCCCAGTCCCTCCCAGTGCTCCCAGTACCCCCAGTGCCCCCAGTCCCCCCGGTGCCCGGTGCCCGTACCGCCTGCGTGTAGGCGCTGTAGGCGCCGAACTGGAGGGCGATGGGGCTGAACATGCCCAGCTGGCTCGCCACCTGCTGCATGCGCCGCAGCCCCCGCTCCTTCTCCGTGTCCGCAAACTTCACCACCAGGCTGGACGAGGCGCCCTGAGGGGACACGGCCGTCACCGCGGTCACTCGGGGTCACTCGTGGTCACTTGTGGTCACTCGGGCTCATTTGGGGTCACACGGAACGGGAGTGGTGATGGGGGTGATGGCTGGGTTATAACGGGGTGAGGATGATGGTGGAGGTGATGAAGAGGATTGGGATGGGGTTGACGACGGGGACAGTGGTGAGGATGATGATGGGATGATGGTGGAGAAGATGAAGGAGATGATGATGAGGATGATGGGGATGATGAGGGTGATGGGGGTGACAATGGGGATGACAATGACAACAATGATGGGGACGATGAAGGGGATGATGAAGAGGATGATGATGGGGATGATGAAGGGGACCATGAAGGGAACGATGAGGAGGGCAATGAAGAGGATGGTGAAGGAGATGATGAAGGGGACAATGATGAGGATGATGAAGGGGACAATGATGAGAACAATGAAGGGGATGAGAAAAGGGGACCATGAAGTGAACAATGACGAGGACAATGATGAGGATGGTGAAGGAGATGACAAATGTGACCATGAAGGGGATGATGATGAGGATGCTGAAGGTGACAGCGCAGGGGGTGACGATGAGGACAGTGAAGGGCCAATGAAGGGGACGGTGACGAAGGTGACAGCGCAGGTGACAGCGCCGAGGACGTCCCTCACCGGCAGCGTGCGGCTCCCGTGCAGGGCGGCGATGGCGGCCTGGGCCTCCGCGTGGCTCTGGAACTTGACGAAGGCGCAGCCTGGGGACATCGGGGGCATCAGGGGCATTGGGGACATCAGGGACATCGGGGACATTGGGGACATTGGGGACATTGGGGACATTGGGGGCATCAGGGACATTGGGGACAATGGGGACATCAGCTCCGTGGCAGCTCCAGGGAGCTCTGGGGGTCCCACCCCATCCCCTCACCCCATGGACCCCCCAAACCCCATTAACCCCATCCCTGCCGTGCTCCCCCTAAACCCCATCCCTGCCCCACAGATCTCCCCGTGCCCACCCCGGTGACCCCTGTGGGACTCCCGAGGGACACCCAGGACCCCCGAGGGACCCCCCGGGACCCCCCGGGCCCCCCGGGCCCCCCACCTTTGCTGGTGCCGTCGGGGCCGCGCAGCACCGTGCACTCGTCGATGGTGCCGAAGGGCTCGAACATCTTCCGCACGTCCTCGTCCGCCTGCTGCTTGCTCAGCATCCCCACGAAGAGCTTCCGGTCCTCTGCGCGACACCGCGGGTGGCACCGGGAACGGGGACAGGGACAGGGCACGGGGACACCGCGGGTGGCACCGGGCACGGGGACAGGGACAGGGACAGGGACACCGTGGGTGGCTCCGGGCACGGGGACAGGGCACGGGGACAGGGCATGGGGACAGCGCGGGTGGCATTGCAACATGGGCATGGGGACACCGTGGGTGGTACCAGGACATGGGCATGGGGACAGGGACACCGCGGGTGGCACCGGGCACGGGGACACCACGGGTGGCACCAGGACATGGACATGGGGACAGGGGCACAGGGACTTCATGGGTGGCACTGGGACAGGGGCATGGAGACAGGGCATGGGGACACCATGGGTGGCATTGGGACATGGGCATGGGGACACGGCCACCGGGACACAGGCACATGGACAGCATGGGTGGCATTGGGACACAGCCATGGGGACACTGCAGGTGGCATCGGAACATGGCACAGGGACATGGCATGGGGACAGGGGCACGGGGAGATGGGCACGGGGACACCGCGGGTGGCACCGGACACAGCACCAGGACAGGGGCATGGAGACAGGGCATGGGGACACCATGGGTGGCATCGGGACATGGGCATGGGGACACTGCAGATGGCACTGGGACACGGCACGGGGACAGGAGCACGGGGACACCACGGGTGGCACCAGGACATGGGAATGGTTATGTGGGCATGGGGACACGGCAGGTGGCACCGTGACACAGGCACGGGGACATCACAGCTGGCACGGGGACAGTGCCACGCAGAGGGGTGTGACACTCCGGGAAGGACGGGCTGGGGGGGAACGGGGACATTGGGGTGGGGACAGGGGACAGCTCCTGGCAGTGGGGACACGCAGGGACAGCCCGCGCTGGGGACAGGGACACGCGGGGGGGCTCACACCGGGGGTGGCCTTGGGGTGATCTGGGGACACCGGGGTTTGGGGACGGGGCGGTGGGGGGGGGGG